TACACTTCCATAAGACGTTTCAATTAAAGACATCGAATGATACCTACTCGTCAAGAAGTACAAGTCGTATCGCATTCCGATAGGTATGTCTGTGTTCTAGAACCTGGTGAAACTTCCGTGGTTTTCTGAGGTTTTCTGTTCCCCAGCATGACGTCGACATCTAATGATAATAAAACCTAGAGACTTAAACAATTTACTCGTCAGGCTGGTTTTCCTGGGGCTATCACCGGGAGGTTTTCCCCCATTCTTGAAAGCTAGGACACTTAGTGATTGAGCCTAGTCTGATAGCTTCGTATTTGATTGATGTGCACTGGTAAACACTTCAGTTAATCTTACCAATCGTCGACCGCCATCTTTAAATGTCATCATCAATATCAACACGGGACCAGGCATTACTGCATGCCGATCCAAGTTGCCACACCTATATCAACACATCAAGTAGTAAAGTAATCAGATGAAAGATAAAGAAATAAGGAGGAATCGATCAAAAGGAGTAAAAGAGATGAAGGACGAATGAGAAAATGCTGAGTCCAATATAGTGATGAAGATGGAGATAATATGTGGACACATCTGCACCACCGAGATTGATTCTAAGCCATATCACTTGGAATCTCCAACCACTAGTTTCTCTTGTCATGCAGACTCCAACCTGGAAGTCTAAATTTCCCTTCACGGCTCATACCAACAGTGGAACACTTGATGAAGTATTGCCACCTCAGGCTTTTTTCCACCCTGAATCTACTTTGGTTAGCATTGCAGGACGTGACAGACTGTGACTAAGCGTGTGTAATATACGTCCCAGCCATCTGAGTCGATGAGGGTTCACAACCTCATCAACTGATTTCCTGCTCCTTAGAACTCTATACCTGATTTCTGCGTTACTCTCATGGTGACACGACGATACACGGCTTATGCTACGAAGGAGACGGTGGTCAAACACCAGAAGTCTTTTCATATCCCTTACCTTCAATGGTTATGTTTCAAGATGCATAAACTCCGTCTAGATTTTAGATGATACCCGCTGTTGATGAAGGTCAATAAGTACGAAACTCATGACCAAAAGTAGTTTTCTAGTGACTGCGTTTAATTAGTGAAGGATTCCACCTAATCTTAAATTGATTCCTTTTGTTTATGAGAGAGGGGATCTTCATAATTACGTTTATGGTAGAGTTGAATAGGAATGAAGAGAGTGAACACCCGTGGCAAACACCAGTTGACTTGCGCAACTCATCATAGACCATGACACGTTCATGGGTGTTCGATTTCATAGCTCCCAACATTTTCAGTGGAAGATACTGCTATAAGATCTCTCGATCGAATTAATCAAACACCGTCAGATTCAAGAAATACAGGTAGTGTCATTAGTCGGTAAATCTGCTTGTGTTCCAAAAGCTGACGGAGTGTGCACATCTGGTCAATGCATCTACGATCAAATCTGAAGCTTACCTCCCTAGCTTTCTCAGGCTAGTTGTTCCGGAACTCCACTCAGATGTTTGGTGTTTGTAGAACCTAGAATCTTCGACACTATATTCATCAGACTGATTCCTTTTTGGTTGTTGCGGAAGGACTTCTCATCTTTCTTGAAGACGGACAGTCAGTGATGGAGAGCAGTCAGAGAAGATCTTATCTGACTCTCACACTAGTTAATTTGACTCGAAATCCCTGACCACTAAAAATCGTCCATCTGACCCTCTTATTCTTCCTCGTTTCAGGTTTCCTACAGTTTTTCGCACTTCTACAGGTGTTGGGAGTCCTATCTCGATGTTCCATTCGGGCTCTGACTGGAAAGTGGGCAATAGGATAGCAACTGGAGGCCAGTTGATCTATTCATCCCATCATTTCGGTCATCTCCACTGAGTGTGAATCACAGACTAATGCTTCCTCACTATGGTTTCACTAGGCTTTATCGGCCTATATTTGACTTGTTTTCGCTCCTCATGCTAGGAGGCTGCACGAATGGATTCACATGGATCCGCTACTGAGATAAATGACTGTATGCTCTGGATTAGTGTGCCTATTGTTTTCTGACAAGTTATTTGAAGAAAATGAAATCAGTCAGCATACAAAACAATATAAGCAAAGCAGAGAAAAGCTGTTTTAATTCATTCTGAATTTATGCATTATGACTCTTTGTTACAGGTCCAAAATACAACTTAGCAATGCAAGGCATCGAATCCTGTACATAACCAACGCCTGTTTAAAAAATCCAATACCGATTCCACTAACCTATTTAATAAGCAGTAGTAGAAAAGGCAGGAAAAGCATCTTTGAGTATACTATTCCGTCTGACCATTATCTTCATGCATATCCTCTATATCTATCTCCTCTTCAGCAGATTGCTTCCAACCCAACGATTTCCTTCCTACTTTTAGACGATGGCCCTCCAAGAGTAGTCGTATGCTTAATTCTTCAAAATATCAGACCATAAACTTTTGTTTTAGACGTGAACATAACCTATGTAAACTGCTTAGTTTTCATGATTCCTGTTCCTTTGATAGAGTCGTGCATTAGAGACTGTTACAAGTATGATTAATCTTGGCGTGTATTTTTCTTCAGACCTATCCTGGTCCTTCCACATCTAAATAATTTCCAAAAGAATTTTCCACCTAGCTTTCTATATTAGGAAGCTGAGAGTATCTGGTATAACTCAGCCTCTCCTTTTGTGTTTTATAAACTTCCACATCTTGCCTGTTCTCGTTTTTTTTCTGTAGGGTTACTGAAAATAGACTATGCTATGTATTGCGTAGAACTTTGAAAATTGTCAGCAGAACTAGTGGTGTACTGATTAACCATCTAGTTAAACCTGTTGTGGACAAACATTATTAACTCGTATAAATATCTGATAGTGGTTATTTTATCAGATGACCAACATCCTCTTTAGTGAAAGCTCTCTGAGTGTCGGTCATCTGGAAAGATAAGGAGCAAGTACATAAGACTTTATGCACATACTACAAAATGTAAAAACTTTACAATACCGTATTCAGCTCGTCTGTTGTGCAATGAAGAAAGCAAACTAATTGAGGGTAATGATGAGCATGTTACTATTTATGTATCATGACTCAAATTGCTAATGTGATTGTCTACCTAAATTAACTGTACATTTCCAAGAAAGTTGTAAATTGAGTGAATATCCTTATCTTTCTTTTGTGCAATTTATACTTATTTCATTTTACTATGTATACATGTACACTGTCTCTGTACAGCTGATGTTATATGACATGCTGAACCTTCAAAATCAAGTTGAAACTCTTCAAAGAAATTGGTGATAGACCACAGTTCAAATTTAATACCCAGAACAGAAACTGAAGAACAAAGCTACAACATACATCCTCACGTCAGCCATCAGAACAAAATGGGAGACATTGAGCAACAGCCCTGAAGGAGCCTGCATAGAAGAACACTAGAACTCTTTGAAAGAGATGTGGAAGGAAGCCTGTATAACCGTATTAGGAAGGAAGAAGAAGCCAGACAAGACAAGGAATGGATCTCCACGGACACATGGAAGGTAGGTGATAGAGGAGGGAGAGGAAGATGGTGATGGTGATGGTGAAGCAGAAGATGAACCAGTGAAGTGCAGTGCAGTGCAGTGCAAGGATGAACAACAAAAAGAGGAACTGAACACAGAGTATAAAACACTGGAGAGAGAAGTGAAGAAGAGTGTGCGGAAAGACAAAAGACACTTTGGCAACGACACATTGGCAAGTGAAGGAGAGCAGGCTGCAGGTAGAAGAGGCCTGACATTGTATCAAATAACCAGATTACTACCTGGGAAGAGATGAATACAGGATAGATAGTTGTCGGCAGAGAGGAGAAATTGAATTTTGAGGGAGTTGTGGAGATTTGGAAATATTTCAAGTTGTTATTAATCCTAGACTGACATCAGCTGGAGGAACAAAGGAGACCTGGGAGCACTGGATAGCTGTTTCGTCCTAGTATGGGACTCCTCAGAAGTGCTCACTCACGAACCCGCGACCTTCAGGTTCCTCGGCCAGCGCGTTACCATTGAGCCACTGGGTCGGAATCCAACGCTCCATGTTTCCAACTTCTGTTAGCTCATGATATAGAGCAACCGCCACCCAATGTCATCGCTGAGTAACTGTCCTCACGATCATCAGGCTTGACTCCACTAGTCACGACTTCTCATTGGAACTTCGGGAATACTTCTCGAAGCTAGTCACCAATAAGCACCAGTTCAGTTGAATTTTGAGGGAGTTGTGGAGATTTAGAAATATTTAAAGTTGTTACTAATCATAGAACTGGTGCTTATTGGTGACTAGCTTCGAGAAGTATTCCCGAAGTTCCAATGAGAAGTCGTGACCAGTGGAGTCAAGCCTGATGATCGTGAGGACAGTTACTCAGCGATGACATTGGGTGGCGGTTGCTCTATATCATGAGCTAACAGAAGTTGGAAACATGGAGCATTGGATTCCGACCCAGTGGCTCAATGGTAACGCGCTGGCCGAGGAACCTGAAGGTCGCGGGTTCGTGAGTGAGCACTTCTGAGGAGTCCCATACTAGGACGAAACAGCTATCCAGTGCTCCCAGGTCTCCTTTGTTCCTCCAGCTGATGTCAGTCTAGGATTAATAACAACTTGAAAGAGGAGAAACAAAGAAAATGATGGGCTGATCACTTAAGAAAACTCATTTGTTCGTGCAGTTAGAAAAGCATTAGAAATGAACTAACTTATCAACTTCTGTCTGCGGTGCAGTGAAGAAAGCAAACTAATTGAGGGTGATGATGAGCATGTTACTATTTATGTATCATGACTCAAATTGCTAATGTGATTGTCTATCTAATTTAACTGTGCATTTTCATGTATATATGTACACTGTCTCTGTACAATTGATGCTATATGACACTGGAAACTCTGTAGAGTATTCTCAAAATGTCTTATTACTACTATTAGTATTATTATCTAATCTCAGTGTTGTTGTTACCAATTTTTCGCTTTCAATGGAGTTAACGAGTAAATTATCCCCTTTTGTTAATCTATACACAGCCAGCTTTAGTAAATACATTGAATTGTATCAAGAATAATCTTCCATGGATAGAACGATTGGATGTTGTATGTGAAGCTGCTCCAGCTTTAAACGATTTAAAAATAGATGATTTACAACAGATTAATCCAGATGATGACTTTAAAAGGGAGAATTATTTGTAAGTTATATGAATTTTATAAGTGTAAATCCATTAGATAGTTTAAATAATAATGCGTGCTTAGATTGATGAGTTATCATATTCTTTATCATTCTGACTATGTAAGATAGCATCCGTGGTTTAGCAGACTTGTATTTATACTGGGGTGATGATTGAAGGTGAAATGAAAAATGGGATCGCGACCGGATTTGAACCAGCGACTACCGGGTTTCCACGCCCAATAGTTTACTAACTAAGCCATGAGGTCCGATTTATGATCACATTTTTATTCCACTTCAATCGCCAAGGCTTTTACCCGTCTAGTGGATAATGCTATGGCTTTTAAAGCGGTCGGTCCCGGGTTCGAGTCCCGATGGGAACAACATCCCTTCACTGGGAGGTAGGTACATGCGACTGAAGAGTCCTAAATAGGGCGTAATGCGCGTCCTGGATTCTACTACTGGCCACTATCCGTCATTAACATAATGAGAAGACAGAAATTATCTGAAACATGCGATGCATTAGCGCTGTGTATTTTGAACAATCTGATCTCACATAAACTTATCGAATAATTTATATAAAACTTGGGATGGTTGATTAAGCCAGTGGAATTATAATTAGAAAATATAACAAGGGCAGAACAAAAGCAAGAGAGGAGAAAGATAATAAGAGGTCAAATCACCGCCACTGAACTAATACTACCAGGGTAGGTTCAGTATAAGTGCAAATTGTTTCTGAATACATATCGGGGATTTGAAGGGATTCATGTATAGTAGGTGATTCGATAAATCTAAGTATTCTGCCTTGACCATATCTATACATTACAGTAAAGGCTGTCTTCATATCAATCTTATGATCAGTTTGTAGTATATGCGTTTCGCCATCGATGAGGTAAGACGTTTATCACCTGGACTTATTAAAGTGTTAGTGGTCATTTGTTTCTTCAGCCATTTAGGCACAAGCAACCAACCAACCATTCTTAACTTCATGCCACGATTGCTCCTCCCTGTGTATATTTGTCGACGTATATATGTAAATTAATATACACAATGGAATATCATACACTCGTTTAGCTTTGCGTTGAAGCATTGGCTTTGTCTCTTCTCCATTAAGATGACCTTCTCCGCGTAGTATATCCTGCTACCAGGTGCTTTGAACGTTTTCTTCAACATTAGACCATTCGATTCACCCTTGTATTTATACTCGATGATGATTGAAAGTGAAATGAAAAATGGGACCGCAGCTGGATTCGAACCAGCGACTATTGGATTTTGAGCATCGGGTAGCAATCCCGCCGATCTCTGGTTCGAGTCCGGCCACCGTCCCAATTTTCATCTCACCTTCAATCGTCACCCAATATAAATATTCCTTATCCCATCGTTTGTTGTGTTTACTGCTAGAACAGCTGGTAGGATGTTTTATACAGGTCAGCTTTGGATATCATTCAGTAGTCGGGCAATGCTAAATCCGAGACGAAAGGGATATCCTACCTAATCTTACCTCTTCATCTTGCGTATATCAATTTAACTGTTCCTGTGGAATTAGTTACAAAGGGCGTACGATTAGGCAGGTGCATTTCGAAATAGGAGAGCATTTACCGGCTTGATTTGGAGATGGCGGAGTAAAAGTGGTGGAAAGTTCAATACTAGCGTATCTACTCGACACAAGGCATTACCATGGATGCTGATGTCACTCATCGTGTTCAAAAAACGACACCACATGTAGCTCACAAACGCCAACTAAACATATTGGAGGCTATCTCAATAAGATTAATCAAGCCTGACCTGTTCATTCAGTAAGAACATGTCGAAGCGTTACTTCTCCCTTGATCTTCAGTAAACTGAAGGTCACTCCTACCATCTTATTCATTATCTTTTTGTTTCACCATCATATCATTCATCTGTATTATGTATCATCCAAATATTGATTAATTTAAAGATGATAAATCCATTTCCTTACAATCTCTAAATCTTGCTCTGTTTCGAAAATGTACATGCCCTTAACAACATGGCTTGTTTCTACGCTGTACAAATAGATTTCATAACTGTAGAACTTGAAGAGAATATTTACTGAAAAGATTGTTCTTTGTTCACATTGTTGCTTCTTATAAATATTATTTGCTGACCAAATATTCACACTGCACCAGGTTCTGGAACGCAGGCACGCTTACTGACTCCGGACAATACCTATATTTCTCTACCTGAAGGTGGCATTTGACTCTGTTGAGCAAGAAGTCTTATGGAAATGTTTCTCACTGAGAGGCGTGCCGAGTAAGTACATCACCTTATCAAAGGCTCTCTACTCGAACACTTGTAGGCGTGTTAGAGCCTATGGTGAGATGTCCGTGGAACTGTACTCGTCAAGTGGTGTCCGTTAAGGCTGCCCACTCACTCCATTCTTATTCAATTTGATCATAGATATTCTTATGGAGGTCTCCATCTCGACACCTGACAAGGTGCAGAGTCTTCTCGACACCTTGAGTGGCAATTTGAGTGTTCGGGATGTATTTCTCACCACCCAAATGCAAATTGTTGCTCCACAATCGGTCTTTAACGGTGTCTCACTGAGGCTAACAATAGAGAGTGTAGTTGGTTGAGTGTGTCGACGACTTCACTTACCTGGGAAGTGAAGTGGGATCAACCCTACCCTAGTGCATTGGTCGACTGGCTTCTGCCACCTTACGCCATCTGTGGTGCCGCCGTGATATCCCATTGTCTGTACTCCACGACAGTCCGCTCTGCTCTACTCTATGGGTGTGGAACATGGCCGTCGAAAGTGTGCAAGACATGAGAAGGCTTCAGGTGTTTGACCATCGTTGCCTTCGTAGTATAAGCGGTGCATCATGGTGTCGCTATGTGATGAGTAACACAGAAGTCAGGATCAGGTGTAGAGTTTTAGGGAGAAGAGGTAAGATAGTTGACGAGGTTGTGAACATTCATCAACTGAGATATCTGGTTGAGACACGTCTTGTGTTACGTATACCTAGTCGCCGTCTGCCTCCTCACACAATGTTGACGGAAGTAGGTTCAGGTTGGAAAAGGGGTTGAGGTGGCCAAACTAAAACATGGCATCAGTGTATGAATTGTTTGACTGTTGGTTTGAGCCATGTGGGGGCAATGCAGACTAGCCGATTGGGATCCATGGGACAAGAGGAACCAGTGTTTAGAGACTGACTCTAGGTGCCCACATGGCTCAGAATCGAAGTCAGTGGTGCATATATATACACATACACACATTATCCTCATCTTAACGACGTTGTACCGAATCTCACCATTTTCTCATTCTTCCTTTCTCTCTTTGAGTACTTTATATTTCTTTTGACTGAATTTTCTTTTTTCCATCTTCCACTTCATTACCTTTTTACTTGATGTGGTGATATGAGGTGTGGCAAGTTGGACAGTCACGCATCAGTCCATGGTCCTGTGTTGATCTGGATGGATGAGTTGTTTGAAATCAGTTATCACAATAATTTGTAACATCTAGAGACAATTATATGATCTGATCTTCGTTGTGTGTAGTACTTTTTGGCATTGGAGCAGTGTAGGCGATTGGATATGTCACCACTGTACTCTAGTGTGTACAACTGTGTATATACACCACTTGATCGCTGAATAGATAACCAATATAACCGTCAGTTTTGTAAATGCTGACGCCGGTCTGTCGATCAAGTTTTCAACGTGAAGGTTTGATTGCACCATATTTAGTTTTTTAATATAAATCAATAGACAAGATCCTGTCTTTGATGTCAGATTTCTTACTTGTCCAGTACCCATCACTGCAGCATCTCTGCGATGCTTTTTCGGTGTTTCGAACCTACATTACTTAATGCTGAAGTCGTGAACATGTGACAAATTGCTTATTGTTGAATAGTTTTTAATATCTACAACTTTCTAGATAACAAGACGTTGTTATACATTTAATTCCCCTAACAAGTTTTACACAATGCAAAGACAAAGACATTCGCAGAATACAATAAGCCCATTTTATTTCACGGCCTTTCATCAGCCGCAAATAAGATACAATCGAAATGAAGTATTGGTGGTAATAATCGCGTAACATACTTTAAATATGTAGAAATAAATGTGGATTTGAAATCCAGGATTAAAAATTAGGTAGTGATGCCGGGCGATAACCGAAGGTGATGTGAAAATTCGGACTACGGACGGACTCGAACCAGTGACTGCGGTGATTCCGGCCCGATGCTCTACCAACTGATCTACGGTGTCCGACTGCTGACTAGATTTTTATTTCATTACAGTCATCAATCCTTTTTTTTTTACCCGACTACCATGCGAATTCGTGACGCGTTACTATCGCTTGATTGTGCTCACACTGGCCGTCTAGTCAGGACTTTTCATCCCAATTCAAATCTAACTGAATTAGAATTGGACCTCGCAGCTCAGTTGGTAGAGCACTGAGCGGAAACCCTGTGGTTGCTGATTCGAATCCGCCTTGATGCAGATGGCCTGTCTGGCATCTGCCAACATAGGGTCATCTGTGGCACCGATTGGCGAGCTATCCGAATATCTGTTAAAGGACGAGTATACTGTGCTGCAAACAGTACGTTCCATCCTGTTGTACGCCTTCGACACATGGGCGTTGAAAGCAGAAGAAATGAAGCGGTTGCAGGGCTTTAATCATAGGTGTGTTCTTAGCATTGTTCTTGTTTTTTGAAATCCCTATATGAGCAATGTTGAGGTCAGGGGAAAGGTAGTTGCCAAGATAGGTGAGTCGATTGATGAGGTTGTGGACATTCATTGACTGAGATGTCTTGGACACGTAGTGTGGGTGTCGAGCTACCGCCTACCTCGATATGATATGTTAGGGGAAGTTAGATTAGGATGAGAAAAGTTAAGGATGGCCAGATCAGAATAAACATAGCACCAGTCAATGAAGTCCCTGTATGTTGGCCTGAGTCGTGTCGAAAGATGTAGACCGTCTGGTTGTAGTTCCGGAGAAAGAAGAAATCAGTGGTTGAGGACTGACACTATCGGTGACAGTGACGCAGATGTATTCGCTCGTTGATATCCAATACTTGAATAGTCATCCTAACCTTTATCTTCACGTTGCTTGTTTTCGTACACTGCTATCATTCCTTTTCTATGCGCCTGTTCATTGCATACTTCTGTGAAGTATAGCAACTTGAAGTGATTCACCTGTATACGAGGTTGTACGTTGATTTTGTCAGGCAGTCATCGTTCAAATAAGGATATAGTTATTTATTTTTCAGCTGTTTTTTTTCTATATCTCAGTTTAATGTGTATTCCTAGTTATAGTTTTATGTGTATACTGTAAATCATTCGGCAATAATACGATATTTGGTTATTTTTCACCTAGAAGATAGCCAATGTTTGCAGTTCAGCAATCCAGTTTATGCTGAAATTTTAACGTGTAGATGATAAATAGTGTTTTTCTGTTTGTTTACATCGAAGTGTGGTGGACTCTGAATCAGTGATGCAATGGTTGATGATTGTAAGTACGGACCAATGACTGTTATGGTTCAGAAGACTGGTATGTGCTATCGCCGATAATGATGCATGGATATTGAGTGTCAGCCACCAACGTTCACCAGCGTCCTAGTTGATTCCCGACCCGATCAATTAATGGAGAAGAAACGATGGAAATGTAGAACTGTGTGCCAGGGTTGTGAGACCAAGGACTGAAAGTGCGGCTAATATACAGATAGTTTGGTGTTTAAAATAATCCTATTGATTGGCTAGTCCACCATCTGTCTGTCTAGCTGTAGGAGTGATAACATAAAGTACATTTTGATTGGTTCCTCTCCAGACTAGTCATCTCTCTCCATCCCCATATCACCTCCCTCTTCGAAAGGATGTTATTCGGAGTCAGACTGTGGTACACTGTCCTTTCCTGGTATCTGACTGGCCCAAAGGGAGTTTCACCTTGTTTACTGAGGGATCAGTGGTCCTCGATATTTTTGCGGCAGGCAGGTACTTGAGCATGAAAATCACCTATCAAGCCAAGAGATTTACCTACTGATCAAGGATGAGATCTGCAGCGACATCTGGAGGGATGACATTTGTACATGTCGTTGTGTGTTGGTGGCAAAAACTGTCTTTATGGTCTCCGTCATTACAGTCCCGGTCTCGATGTTGTTTATGTGGACAAGATTAACGAAATGCCTAGGCACCATAATGCCAGCAAGGCGATGGGGGTGTCTTTGAGGGTCGACTGGTATTAGATGGGTTACTGGGCCGATGAACAGGCGAGATAAGGCCCGAGGGTGATGCGGAAAGATGAGATAGATGTCTGGCGAACTGTATGTACTTCAGAACCACCGTGGCGTTCGGATTGGTCTAGACTCGTATCACGCTGCAGGTTACTCAGTCGTTGATATTCTGCAGACATGTCATTGATTGTCTGGACTGTGGTGTCGAAAGTGCGATCACCTGGGTTTTTTCGGCGAAATCATGTTGCAGTACTGGTCGAACTCATGTGGAGTAGGTTGAATTAGGAGACGTACATTCCAGGAATCGTCTTGGCCTGCAAAATCCGCTTTGAAGTAGACTTCGTAACACCTAAACTAAGCACCGAAAGTCTTATTGGCATCACGATCGTAGTGAAATTCAGTGATATTAAAAGCAGGTATTAAAACTGGCATAGTAGGCGATGAATCAGTAGCAGAAATTTGGGATTGCGTGAACATCTCGATAATTCTCATTTGTTATTCGAGGAAATTGTCCAACTTCGAAGAATCCATTCCTCAATATCCCATTTCCGTCGCCAATGTTACAATCTGGACACTGCCATGTGCTATGGACGATAATGATGCACGAATGTTGAGTTTCAACCACTAACGTTCAACAAATTCCTAGTTGATTCCGGACCTGACTAATTTATGGAGAAGACACGATGGAGGTGTAGAAACGTGTACCGGGGTCGTGAGACCAACTGAAAATGCAGCTAATATATACAGATAGTTTGTTGTTTAGAGTAATCCTATTGGTTGGCTGATCCTTTGTCTGCCTGCCTGTCTGTCTAACTATCGAAGTGGTCACATAAAGCACATTTTGATTGGTCGCTTTCCAGACCAGCCACCTCTTTCTATCCCCATATCATGAACACAGACAGCTCTCTATTGGATTTTGGAACTTAACTGAAACTAGTCAACCACTTCCAGTTGTGTGCAATGGGAAGCGGCAAAATATAGTACGTCATTTTAATATTTTTATTGAAGAGAAAGAGATCGTTAAAGGAGCGGAAATTTTGTATCACAAAATCACGAAGCGATTCTTCAAGAATAAACCGAATCCTTGAGTTACGCGTTTCTTTCAAAATGTCGGATTTGTTTAAATAAAAAGATGGTGAATAACCTCAGATTATGAAGTATCTGTGGGTTTATTGCTGTCAAAGCATCTTACTCAGAGTATGTCAATAGTACAGCAGCCAAACTATGTCCATAGCAAACCGAAGTGGAGTGTAAAAAATCGGCATATCTGATGGTCAGGTAAAGACATGAGATAAACAATTATTCAAGGTAAAATCCCAACACCGTCATGAACCGGGAAGGGTACTAATATCTGGGGTTGTTAAGTAATGGAAAATATACAATCGAGTTGTAGATGGAGTAACATTATACGGACACCAACTATACTACTCAATAATACTAAGTAGTATAAAACCGAAGGTAGAAAAAGGGAAACAAGAGTATTGTAGTGGGCGTTCAACCATTCTCCGCCAGGTCTCCTTCCCATCCCCACGTTCCACGCCGTCATACGCTGCTTTCGCTCTACCCCTAAGCAGCACACCAAGTACCACAACCTTCGCTCCTGGATCCTGAAAACCCACCAGTTCCGCTACCGACTCGAAGTCCCTGTGGAAGACCATGATGTCTCCATCCTTGAACGCCGTAGGCCACGATGCCAATTGAAGGAAACCAAAAGACAGATTCAAAGGAAGGAATATTTATTATTAACATGTAGTACAGTACTTGTCAAATTTGGTACACCTTGGAGTAAGACAGTCATTTTCACAATGTGTTTCATTTCCTCTTCTGTTTCTCTCTTGATTTGCTGTTTATACGCCCACGTTGTCTCCTGTGTTTCTCTGGGCAGAATCCTTACCCATTACTGATAATTCCCTATGATTTCTGCCCCCTCTCAATATATACTACTTATATCCATTCTGATCAGCAACGCCCACTGCAGTATCATCAAACGTGGTATGCTTTTCCGTCTTCACCCCTTATTTGTTGTGTTTTCCTCTATTGCTATACACACACTCAGTAGTATAAATTCTTGTTAATAGTAGCTTTCATCATAGTGCTACCTTGAGAGTTTAGCGTGTTCGCCTTACCTTATTATGTTTCTAAGCAAACCATAATTTTCATAAAATATCAGTTCACTCCTTTTTTTAAAAATTATTCTCTCAGCTATCGTATTGCTCAGGCTGGTGTACTTAAAGCTATACCTCAGTTGCATGCTTTAGATGTGCCAACTAAACGTCCGTCTGATTACTTTGCAGAAATGGTCAAAACAGATAATCATATGACAAAGGTTAGTGAATATATTTTTTCTATAATCTATATACTTTTATACACAACTGTACTATATGAAATAATAGGTGTTTTCTAGGCAGTTATTCTTATTTATTGATTGATGGTCAATAGAAATGAACCAACTTCATGTTATCTCATCCTAGGTACTAACTAATTTCTTTTGTTATTCTAATATCTCGATGGTAAGGTGTTTGGTTGTTGTAGCATTGGAGGTGATGTGGGTTGAAATCTGTGAGAGGAGGGACTTCAGTTCGGCTGATGAGTGCTACCAACCACGAAAACTAATTGGAATAGGTTTTCTTAGTGGTTATCGGAAATCATTTAACAGTTGTCTTTATTTTTTTGTAGTCAAACTCAGTAAACTTGGATAGGCTCACCTCAAATAGTTAAACCGCTTGTATATATAAATGGATTTAGTTAACTCACATAGAAAGGTTGGTGGTTTTGTAAACTGCTTAACTTTTAACAATTTGGTTTCTAGTGACAATTATCAACTGCTTGTTGCTTCACAATAACTATATTGTCATGATGTAAGAAAACGTTTTACTGAATAAAACGGATAAATAGGTGAACATCGCTCACTTCCTACGGTTTCCCACTTCAGTTTTGTGACAACGCAGTCGGATAGATAATAATCAGTCTCCTCTACCAGTGTAAGAAATATTGAGGTGGATAGTGGAGGGAACCAATCTCCTCCAGGATCATGACAGCAATATTCAACTCAAAGGAAAGGAAAGTCACAATCATACAGTGCTACGCACCTACAAATAATGTAGATCAAGAGAAGAAGGAGGAATTCTACAGACAACTGCAATCAGTAATAGACAAGATCCCACCTCAGTTGGCGACATGAAAATTCTAATGAGTGAGCTGCATCAATGCCAAACTGGGAGCAGACAACACAGGAAGGGAACCAATCATAGGTCGAGAAGCACTCGGTGAAATGAATAAGAATGGAGAACTATTTGCAGACTTCTGAGCATTCAACGATTTGGTGATTTGAGATGAGGCAGTGTGTACAAACACAAGGATATTCACAATGCAGAGACATGGATTTGACTTCACCAGACACTACGACACACTAAAAATCATATTGACTTTATTTCAATGTGAAGAAAGTAAAGGCGCAGCCTACTGGACACAAGGTCAAGAAGGTGGGTACATGTAGGTTCACACCACTCACTATATAGTGCAAGGAACCTACTTCCAAAATCAAGTTGGAAGCCTTCAAAGAGGCTGATGATAGATCATAGTTCAAGTTGAGTACCCAGAACAGAAACTGAAGAACAAAGCTACAACAGACATCCTCACGTAAGCCATCAGAACAAAATGGGAGACATTGAGCGACAGCCCTGAAGGAGCCTGCATAGAAGAACACTAGAACTCTTTGAAAGAGATGTGGAAGGAAGCCTGTATAACCGTATTAGGAAGGAAGAAGAAGCCAGACAAGACAAGGAATGGATCTCCACGGACACATGGAAGGTAGGTGATAGAGGAGGGAGAGGAAGATGGTGATGGTGATGGTGAAGCAGAAGATGAACCAGTGAAGTGCAGTGCAGTGCAGTGCAAGGATGAACAACAAAAAGAGGAACTGAACACAGAGTATAAAACACTGGAGAGAGAAGTGAAGAAGAGTGTGCGGAAAGACAAAAGACACTTTGGCAACGACACATTGGCAAGTGAAGGAGAGCAGGCTGCAGGTAGAAGAGGCCTGACATTGTATCAAATAACCAGGTTACTACCTGACAGGGAAGAGATCAACGTAGATTAGACCAATGAAAAATAGTGAAGGAAACGTAGTTACCGGCAAAGAGGAGAAACAAAGGAAACTATGGGCTGACCACTTCAAATAACTCTTGAATCTACCACCACCACCTGCAGCTCGTCCAGAAATCCCACAAGCAGCCCACTCACAGAATTACCAGTGAACACAAGCCTTCCGACAAAATCTGAAGTGAACTCGTGAACGCCATAAAGTCACTGAAATCCGGGAAGGAGCAGGACTAGATGGAATTCCGTCCGAAGCACTGAAAACAGACGCATAGACAACAGCGGACATGCTCGCACCACTATTGCCTACTATCACCGATGATCTTCCTGATTGTGATCGACTGGATCATGCAGCAAACCGTGAGCAGCGAGAAGATGGGCATACGCTGTTTGATCGATGAAAAGACCCTAGAAGATTTTGAACTCGCCGATGATGATGTGTGTCTGATGTCGCACAAACTCGAAGATCTACAGGCAAAAACTAACAAGTTGACGGAAGAGGTGAGGCAGGGCAGCGAAGATGGGACTTGAAGTGAACGTAGAGAAGACAGTGGTGATGAAGATATCTAACCAAGAACAACAACAACAAGCACCGATCACTGTCAAAGGGAGACACCTAAACGAGGTAGTCTCTTTCACCTACCACCTAGACAGCATCGTTTCAACTACAGGTGACACATATGAGGATGTCAAAGCAAGGATCGGAAAAAACAGTAAGACAAGCTTTCATCAGTCTGAAATCAATGTGAAGATCTACTGCACTGCACTCTACTCCACTCAGCATAAAGCGTGAACAAGATCCGGATTTTCAACACTAATTCAGTCAAGTCACTACTTCTATGTTTCGGAAACTTGACGCGTTACTAAAAGCATTTCCAACAAACTTTAGGCATACATCAACAGGTGCCTAAGCTTGATACTGAAGATCAGATGTTGAGAATAATAAGAATAAGCAACAAGGAACTCTGGGAACGAACCAACCAGGAACCTATCACCCAACAAATATGAAGAAAAAAGTGGAGATGGATTGAGCATACACTGATGAGAAGGCTGATTGGGGATATCACGTGCCAGGCCAGGCCTTCGAGTGGGAGCCAAATGGGAAACGACGAGTTGCACGTCTGAGGGTAACATGGGGGAGATGATGTGAGGTAGAAATGAAAGCTTCTGGGCAGTGGTGGAGCCTGATTGAAGAGACTGCAGAGAAGAGAGTGAGATAGCGACGTGCTACTGAAGCCTTTCTTATATGCATGTGTTATGTTACAGAGTTGTGAGAACAAATGGAGATACTTAACGCTTGGTAGTCGAGGATTGAGACGATGCAACCCGAGCGATCCACAAAGAGAAATGAAAAGGCTGGAAACCAGATGAGTTTATAGTATCTCAGACTAAAGCGTTAATGATTGAAAACTGACCCTATTTATAGAGTTTACAATAACTTTGAAAGACAAGGAATTATTAGTACATTCATAGAGTTAGTAGCCAATCAGAACAATAGCGGGTCATCAATCAATCAATCAATCATTATCAACATAGGACCAGGCATTACTGCGTAACAGTCCGAGTTGCCACACCTCACGTCAGTTCATCAAGTAGAAAGGTAGTGAGGTGAAGGATGAAGATAAGTGAATGCAGTCAAAAGAAATATAAAGTACGAGAAAAAAGGAAAGAGGAGTGACAAAATGGTGAGATTCGGTATAGCGTTGTTAAGATGAGGATAATGTGTGTATACATCTGCGCCACTGACTTCGGTTCTGAGCCATATCACCTAGGGTCTCCAACCACTGGTTCCTCTTGTCCCGTGGACCCCAACCACCTAGTCTGCATCGTCCTACATGGCTTAAACCAACAGTCAGAGACTTCATACATTGGTGCCATGTTTTAGTCTGGCCACCTCGGGCCTTTTTCCAGCCTGAACCCACCTCAGCCAACATTGTGTGACGAGGCAATCGGTGACTAGGCATACGTAGTACGTGTCCCAACCATCTCAGTCGATGAAGGTTCACAACCTCGTCGACTGACTTACCTCTTCTCCCCAAAACTCTACACCTAACTTCTGCATTACTCACATGGTGACACCACGGAATACGTCCTATACTACGAAGGCAACGGTGGTCAAACACCTGAAACCTTTTCATATCTTCCACTTTCAATGGCCATGTTTCACAGCCATACAGTAGAACAGAGCGGACTGCTGTGCAGTACACGCGACCCTTAATAGACAAACGAATATCACGGCGGCGCCATAGGTGGCGCAAATTGGCAAAAGCCAATCGAGCCTTTTGTATCCGTGCAGAAATCTCATCGGCAACTAACCCACCGGGTTGATCCTACTTCCCAGGTAAGTGAAGTGGTCAACACACTCAACCACTTCACTCTCTATTGTTAACCGCGGTACCGCTGAAGACCAGTCCTGGAGCAAAAATTTGCATTTGGGTGGTGAAAATCGCATCCCAAACATTCTCAAATTCCCACTCAAAGTGTTCAGAAGACTCTGCATCTTGTCAGCGTCTTCACCTAACAGGACTATGTCATCTGCATATTCTAGATCTAAGGAAAATTCACCTGTGATTCGGTCAACGTCTTTGTAATTAGGTGACGAGAGGGAAACCTCCATAAGAATATCTATGATAAAATTAAATAAGAATGGGGATAGTGGGCATCCTTGACGGACACCACTTGATGAGTATAGCTCCCTGGACAACTCACCATAGGCTCTAACATGCCCACAAGTGTTCGAGTAGAGAGCTTTCAATAAGGTGATGTACTTACTAGGCACGCCTTTCAGTGACAGACACTGCCATAAGACTTCTCGATCAACGGAGTCAAATGCCGCCTTCAGGTCGAGAAATACAGCTATTGTCGGGCGTCTGTAAGCATGCCTATGTTCCAGGACCTGGCGCAGTGTGAATATTTGGTCGATACATCCACGGCCAGGTCTAAAGCCTGCCTGGTTTTCTCGGGCTTGCTGTTCCCGAGCTCCACTCAGGCGTCGGAGAATTATAGAACTTAGGATCTTAGACACTATGTTTGTCAGGCTGATTCCTCTGTGGTTATCACAAGAGGACTTCTCGCCTTTCTTGAAGACTGGGATGATGAGTGACTTAGACCAGTCGGAGGGGATCGTATTTGATTCCCATATACTGGCTAACACTTCCGTTAGCCTGACTAAGAGAACTCTACCACCATTCTTGTATACCTCAGCAGGTAGTCCGTCTGGTCCTGCTG